CCACCAAAGTTCCAGCTAGACAATGATCGGGTTGGGAGGCTGGGGCTGGGAGAAAGAAGCATGTCGCCCATTTTCCCGCGTATGTTGAAGACGCGTATTGCCCAGTCGTGCCCTGCATCTTCCCAACCCATGCCTCCCAAAACGATCATTGTCGAACGCCCCCATCGTGCCCCAGTTTGCGCGCCTGCAAGTCACCTGCTCCCGTGCGATGCCGGCGCGAACGTTTTCGATGATATTGTAGAGTTTTCTGCATGGGTGCGCGCAGATACCATGGCAATTGTACACATGTGTCGCTGACAGCGAGGTGGAGCTGAGATCACCTTCCGTCAGATACCATGCCCTATTTATCCAGACGCAGTCGTACACGCCACCGCTTCTGATGGCACGACACGCTTGACCCCTTGCTCAAGAACCGTTCGGCTCGAGAAGTAGATCGCTGGGTCCGTGTTCACTTTCATATTCGGCAATCCAGCAACAGTTTAGGAAACCAGCAACATGAAGAAGTCAATGGCAGTTGCGATCGGTGGTGCTGCTTTGGCAGTTCCGCAAGACCGCTTGGCAATGATTGCGGAGATTCAATCAACGCCAGGTGTTCTTTGGACCGCTGGCGTCAATGAGAGGTTCGGGAGCAAACCCATCGGCGCATCGAAAATCCTCCTCGGTGTAACGCCTGAAGCGATGGCCAAGCGCGCGGCCTATGCAAAAGCACATAAGGACGACAAGCTCGCTGCCATTGAGCTTCCTGAAAGCTTTGACTCTGAGACAAATTGGCCGCAGTGCGCAAAGGTCATTGGCGACATCCGGGATCAGTCCATGTGCGGTTGCTGTTGGGCATTTGGTGCTGCCTCAGCGGCTTCGGACCGCTTGTGCATTGCCACAAACGGTACAACGATGGTTCCGCTCTCGGCAGAAGATGTTTGTTTCTGTGCGTCTCCAGATGGATGCAATGGCGGAGACATCACCTCACCGTGGGATCACATTGGCAGTGTGGGTGCTGTTACTGGAGGCCAATACCATGGCACGGGTCCGTTCGGCAAGGGCTTATGCAAGGATTTCAGCTTGCCTCATTGCCATCACCATGGTCCTCAGGGCAACGATCCATACCCAGCCGAAGGCTCTTCTGGCTGCCCCAACCAAGTTTCAGCGCAGTGCCCCTCAAAGTGCGATGCTGCAGCGGCAGCTCTACATTCGAACTTTACGGCCGACAAGTGGATCTTCGCAGGTGGCACCCAGTCGGCAACGGGCGAAGATGGCATTGCACAAGCCATCATGGCAGGCGGTCCTGTTGAGGTGGCATTCTCTGTCTACGACGACTTTGAGAATTACGTTTCTGGCATATACCATCACGTGTCAGGTGCCATGGGCGGTGGCCATGCTGTTCGTATCGAGTCGCTTGCGGCAAGTTCCGCCTCCTTGCCTCTTCAGCATTACCATGGCAGCTGCTCGAATCAAGGAGGACAATGATGACGATGACGATGACGATGATGATGACAACGACGAAGCTGCTGATGATGATGGTTATAATGCTGATGCTGATGCTGATGATGTTGATGATGGTGCTGATGCTGATGTTACTTCTGTTGGTACTGTTGGTGCTGCTGATGTTGTTGGCGATGGTGAGGATGATGATGACGATGATGATGAAGATGGTGGCGGGAGTGATGGTGATAGTAATGATGATGATGGGGTGATGAGGACGATCAAGAGAGTAGGAGGAGGAGTAGGAGGAGGAGGACTGAGGCGGACGAGGGGTGTCAACAACATGATGAAGATATGATGATGATGATGATGATGATGATGATGATGATGATGATGATGATGATGATGATGAGAAGGATGAGAAGGATGAGAAGGATGAGAAGGATGATGATGACGAGCAGGAAGATGAGGATGGAGAGGAGGAGGACGAGGACGAGGGTGGTGGTGATGACGATGAGGAGGAGGAGGAAGAAGACGAAGAAGATCAGAGTCGTCACATGTGACAAGTTCTCGTCTTCACTTCTCGAGGAGCCCATGGACCTCATTTGAGCTGTTTCGCGGCTGTCCTGGTCTCCTGTGGGTCAGTCTCGAGGCTCGCCGAGGGTCCTCTGGAGCTATCTTGGGGCACTCTTGGGGTCGTCTTGGGGCTCTGCTTAGGCCTTCGTGGGACGTCTTGGGAGGTCTCCTGGGGCCGTGGTGGGGCCGTCTTGGGCCGTCCAGGGGCCCCCTCAGGTCGCCTTCGCCACGGCCGCACTGGGAGCAATCTCTGGCATATCTTCGGGGCTCTGGAGAGTGCCAGGAACACGCTGGGCCGCCCAGGCGGCCTCGGGAGGCGGGGGAGGGGTGCGCGGGAGGGGGGGGAGGGTGGCGCGGTGCACGCCCCCTTTGCCTTTGCAGGGGGGGGGCTTTAGAAGGTCGCAGAAACTCTGCGGTCGGACCGAGGTACAAGATCGAAGTCGGTCCGGGGAGGGTGCCCTGATGCGCTTCGTGTTTGTTGGATGTTGTTGCGCATCCTGGGGGAGGGCACCCTCGACTGTTTTTCAGCTTGGCCAGCGGAGGGTCTCGCGTTCGTGGCAGATGCTCGTTTGTCTTAGGTCCGGCCGTACCAGACAGCACTTGGCATTCTATCACGCCTCAACGTCACAGGGACGTGGTTGCGGATTGTGGGATGGGGTGTCGATGGCGGCGTGAAGTATTGGAAGGTTGCCAACAGCTGGAACCCGTTTTGGGGCGAGAAGGGCTACTTCCGAATTAAGAGAGGCAGCAACGAATGCGGCATTGAAGATCAGGTGACCTTTTCCGGAGCAAATGCAAAGTGGTCGCAGGGAAGCCACGGTCCGCTTCCTGGCGGTTGCGAAGCCCAACAGGATCAGGCTGACTGTGAGGCTTCAGGCTGTGAGTGGCTCGCAGCCATCCAGGCGTGCGTCGACAAGGAGATCGTTGTGTAGCCAGGTCCAATCATGAGCTCTTGGCTATGCCAGCTATCAAGAATCTGTGCGTTGGCATTATATATTTTGGTACGCAGGGTTGTCTGCACCTCCAGCCATGTCGCACGATCCACACACTATGTTCGGATATACGCGTTTCTTGTTTTTACGTTCCACGCCCTTAGCGATTCATGGCAGTAACGTTCTGGCAATAGGTGCTGCTCAAACATCGTGCACCACTGGGAAGTTTTGGTGTTGTCAGCAGTTGCCTGTTGGGCGCAACCCAACCTTCGGCTCCCGCATGCTAAGCTTGTCGATTTCGGCTGACTTGCTGAAGCTGCGTTACGTGCAGCCAGGAAGGAACTCACTGCCAGCGCAACACTCCGCGGATGTTCTCGGCGCTCATCCCCTGCTTGCTCCTCCCACCTGGATCGCCGCTGTGTGTTTTTTGATTATAGAAGTGGCCGTTTAGGCCGCAGGGCACCATCGCACAGCGCCTTTGCCCCGTCTCTTTTTCCTCCTTCTCCTCCTCCGTCCCCTCCTCCTTCTCCTCCGTCTCCTTGCTTCCTCCTTCTCCTCCTCCTTCTCTGCCTTCTCCCCCTCCTCCTCCTCCTCCTCCTCCTCGTCCTCCTCCTCCTCCTCCTCCTCTCCTCCTCCTCCTCCTCCTCCTCCTCCTCCTCCTCCTCCTCCTCCTCCTCCTCCTCCTCCTCTCCCCCTTCCTCCGTCGACGCTGCCGAGTCCAGCGAACTTCGCGTGTCCAGCGTTTTGAGGCTGAGGGCTTGGCAAACTTTTGCTGAAAGAAAGGACTACCTTTAAGTCGGGCCTGCCCCTCTACAGGGGGAAAACTGAAAAGTAGGCAAACAATAGTCGAGGGACAATGCGAACATCATGTTGTCCTTCGGTCGTTGGCGGATGTTTGCCTCCTGGGGGCATCATCGGGGGGAGCGGAGGTCACTCGGAGCCGTCCAGGGGCGGCCGTGAGGCAGCTTGGAGGTATGGTATGAGCTATATTGGGATATGCTAGATTTTGTAGAGCGATATTGGAGGCCATCTTGGGTCTGCTTGGGGCACCCTTGGAGGCGTCCTCGGCGAACTTTGGCGCCCCAGCGCCTCGCGAGGCGCCCCAGGTGCAGACCCAGGGAGGACGGGGTGGGGGAAGGTGGACCCCCTTCCCGAAGGGGAAGAATGAGGTTAGCGGAACGAGCTGCTTCCTGGCATCGCTCGGGCGTGTGCACTTTCTTCTCGGCGAGAGCCATCGAGGACCATTCTGGACCATCGAGCAAACAAAAACACGCACGAAACCGAAAAGTGCACGGGAAGTGGACGTCCGAGCGATGCCTGGACTTAGACCACTCACGCCCAGAGGGCTGGTGGGATCCTGCGCATCCTCCAGCGTTGCGGCACCATCAGTCATTACATTTCACAGTTCGGCACACATGTATCATGAAGGGATGAAGTTGTATGCGTGCGGAAGTATAGGTACATATAGGTTCCCGCCCCGTGCCCACAATGATACCCGACTTCATCTTGGAGTATCCAAGAAGGGTTCACAATGAGTTGTGGCGTGTGTTGTGTTTGTGTGACAATTTCACGTGGTGCTGTGTGTTGCGACGGCGGATGTTACGTTGGAGCAGTACTGGGTGTTGACTTGGAGACTCAGGCTGTGCGGTGGGTGTTGACTTTGAGAGGCGCATAGCGGCGGCGGCGGGCTGCGACGGCAGGGGGCTGGGATCAGCAGCGCCCTTTGCTTCATGTCCAGGCGAAGCCTGGGATGACCGTGGATATCCCCTCGAGTTCTCCTCCTCCGACACCACCACCACCACCTCCTCCTCCTCCTCTTCCTCTTCCTGGCCAGGAAGCGGTAGGACTCTTGCATCCTTGCAGGGGCGAAGGTCCGTCTAGTCCCGCGCAAGTGGGCGCGGCTCTGCAGCAGTGCCGCGCCCCGTGTCGTGTGCGGCCCAACTGCGAGAAGAAACCCGTGAGCCCCTTTCAGAAGCACCCCCTACCTTCTCAGAAGCCCCCGCCCCTCGGCCCTCCCCCCTGCTGCCCCACGCCAGCGCAGAGGCTGCCCCAAGAGCCACCACCGCCGACCCCAGACCATGGCAGCAGCACCCGCAGGCCGCAGCCGTTCTGGCCCAGGAGCTGGGCCGAAGGCATGGCCGCGGCTCCGACGGCGGCCCCCCGCCTCGCCGCGGGCGAGGATGGCCGCCGCAGCCCGCGCGAGGGCGCTGGACGAGCTGGCCACCCCGATACGGCTCCGCCTCCTCGCGGGCCGCAGCGCGGTGCCCTCCGGTGCGGGCCTCGCCGCCGCGCCGCTGCCGCGCGTGGTGCCGGCGCTGCCGGAGCCAGGGCCGGGGCCGGAGGCCGGCAGCCTCCTGTCGCTGGGCTTCGAGGAGGCCGTGCGGCTGATCGAGGTGGAGCTCCTGGCGGCGGTGCAGGCCGTCGAGGGCTACGCGCTCGCCGCGGAGTGCGAGCTCAGCGAGGCGGTCCTCGGCCAGTGCCTCACGGTGGTGTCGAACGTGGTTGCCGCTCCAAGGGTTCGGCGGAACCCTGGGCGGCCCGATCGCAACGGGGACACCTGGGAGGAGCTCATGCACTGCCGCATTGGTGACACCTGGTGTTCAAGGGAGGGAAAACTACCCAGACCCGACAATTGGAGTTTACTGAAAGGCCCTGGGCGTTGACTAAACAGCCCTGCCTGTTCGATTTTTCCTCTGGGCGCGTTTACTGAACGACTTCGCGTGTCGGGGTGGTTATTGTGGGGGTGGATTTTTTGACCTCTAGGTGTACCCGACAGGTGGGGACGGTCTGGCTGGACGACAAGCTCCGCCAGGTGGACCTGGTCGCCGCGATGTGCGACGGCAGGCAGATGCACCTCCCCCTCTTCGCGCACGCCCCAGTTGAGGACGCCGGCGCGGAGACCGCCCTGGTTGATGCCACGCACGAGCGCCTCTTGCGCGGAGAAGCTCTGGTCGTGAAGCCCCGGCACGGCGCCAATTCGCGGCATGTCTTCATGTGGACCGAGCCCATGGCCGACAGGTCCGTCATCGCCGAGGGGGTCCGAGCGGCCCTGACCGGACATGACGAGTCGTGGGCCCGAGAGTGCTGGCAGCTCTCTCAGGTTCCGAAGGGCGCTCTGCTGCAGCCGCTGTACGCCATCACGGTGCCCCTGCGGCCGGACGCTGGCCCCAAGGCTCGAGCCGCCCCATTTCGAAGAAGAACAAACGCCATAAACAAAACTTTTGGCGCGCCGCGCGGATTTCTTGGATCAGCGCTGGGCCACCCCCGGCGGCGTCTCCGGCGCCGCCCCTGGCGCGCTCCGCGCGCCAGGGCGGGGGGCCCAGCGCGGATCCAAGAAATCCGCGCGGAGCGACAACAGTTGAATGCTTGTGCCGCTTTCTCTTCCCCTACCGTTGGAGCTGAAGCTGCAGGTGCTCTTCGGCGAGGTCGTCGGCGGCACGCTCAACACTCACCCGCAGCTCCTGTGGGTGACCCGCGCGGGCTGTGTGCAGCTGTGGGACTTGCCGGACCTGCAGGAGCGCGGCCACAACCGCTGCCGGCAGCTGGAGCGCCTCTACGGCCGGGCCCTGCCGCAGGAGGTGCTGTGCTTGCTGCGTCAGGCCGTGCGCCCAGAGTCTGTGCCTCCCAGATGGGGTCCGAGTTGATGGGGTCGGAGGATCGCGCGGCATCACCGATGCAACGAAAGATTTGGCTCGATGTGAAGCCCGATTCTCTCGACGCCGACGTCGCCGATGCATCGGCAATTCGGAGCGATATCCTCCGGCCCCAGCAGTTCGGCGCGAGATCCTCCGAATAGATGTCAAGCGGTGGCGAAGCGTCCTTGCTCGCCTATAGGCCCACCGAAGTCTGTTCCAAGAGCCCTCTGTGGTATGCACGGGATGTTCTTAGAACATCTCTTGTTGAGGCCGTCGTGTTTTAACACGTCGGGTTTATGTTCTAAGAACGTTTTATTTCTTCTTAGAACATTTGGGCTTCTAAAACCATGTCGTGGTAGGCCCATAGGAGTGCCAGGACGTTCGGTCTCTGCTCAAAGATAGGGTCGGAGGATCGCGCGGCATCACCGATGCATCGGCGATGCGGCTCGGTGTGGCGCCCGATGTTCTCCACGCTGACGTCGCCGATGCATCGCCGATGCCTCACCGATACATCGCCGATGCATCGGTGATGCATCGACGATTCGGGGCCAGTCTCTGATGCATCGGTGAAGCATCGCCGATGCATCGGTGATGCATCGGCGATGCGGCGCGATCCTCCGACCCCATCCCGAGACATGCGACGTCCTGATTTTGTTCAGCATGGCGTCCCCGGAAGTCCAGACCCTTTCCCCGGGGCCGGTTTTTCAACCTGAGTCGTTTTTTGACGGTCCCGGGGCCCGGCGAGGGGCCGATAATGATGAAACATTTGACGTCCTGGTTTTTCCATAACCATCCTGTGGTGTTGGGTCCCCGTTTTGAAATAATGGTCCCTGCGTTCTCCTCCTCCTCCTCCTCCTTCTCCTCCTCCCCCTCCTCCTTCCTCCTTCCTCCCTGCGTTGCACCCACCTAGTATAAACTTCGTGGGCCCAATGGGAGCTCCACCGAAGGTCCCAGTGCGACCGTCCGCATGCGTCCCGCACACCCAGTACAGCGCTTCGTGGCCCAATCCTCCTCCCTGCGTTTCACCCACCCAGTGCAACGTTTCGTGGCCCCATAGGGAGCTCCACCGAAGGTCCCAGTGCTACCGTCCGCATGCGTCCCGCACACCCAGTACAGTTCTTCGTGGCCCCACAGGGAGCCCCACCAAAGGTCCCAGTGCTACCGCCTGCATGCGTCCCGCACACCCAGTACAGCGCTTCGTGGCCCCATAGGGAGCCCCACCGAAGGTCCCAGTGCCACCGTCCGCATGCGCCCCGGAAACACAATTTTGCATTTTCACAAACCCATTACAATGTTTCGTGGCCCCATGGGGAGCTCCACCGAAGCTCCCAGTGGGACCGCCCCGGAAACACAATTTTGCACAATGCGCCCAGTTGGACCGTCCACATGCGCCCCGGAAGCACAATTTTGCATTTTCACCCACCCAGTACAACGTTTCGTGGCCCCATCGGGAGCTCTCCCGAAGCCCCCAGTGGGACCTTTCGCATGCGTCCTGGAAACCCCATTTGGCATTTCCGCCCACCCAGTACAGCGCTTCGTGGCCCCATAGGGAGCCCCACCGAAGCTCCAAGTGGGACGGTCCGCATGCGTCCCAGAAGCCCAATTTGGCATTTTCACACACTCACTACAGCGTTTCGTGGCTCCAGAAGGAGCCCCACCGAAGCCCCCAGTGGGACCGCCCGCATGTCCCCGAAACCCACTTTGGCATTTTCACCGAGCCAGTACAACGCCCCGTGGCCCCTTAGGGAACTCACGGGCTGCTCCAGAACTACCGCCCGCATGCGTTCCCCCCCCCACCCAGCGCAGCGCTTCGTGGCTCCATAGGGAGCTTCTTCACCGAAGCCCCCAGTGGGACCGCCCGCATGCGTCCTACACGCCCAATATGGCATTTTCATCCACCCAGTACAGCGCTTCGTGGCCCCATAGGGAGCCCCACCGAGCTACCGCCCGCATGCGTGCCCCCCCACCCAGTGCAGCGCTTCGTGGCCCCATAGGGAGCTCCACCGAAGAAGATATTCACAACTGCGGTGCCCACCACTGCATGTGGTTGGGTCCTTCGCCAGGATGAGTTTGCGCCAGGGGCCGAACACAAAATTGACGTCTTGTTTTTTGTTACGACGCGATCCTGTCTGGGAGGCCCCATCCGGGAGGCCCTCACCAGAGGGCCCTACAGCCCCGCGAGGCCGCCGATCGGGCCAGCCTGTCGAGCGGTACAGTGTTCAGTCGGGCCTGTCCCTCTACAGGAGGAGTGTTCCATGTCAGTTAAAGCTTCTCCTGGCGAAAGACCCAGCCATGTGCAGTTGTGGGTACCGCAATTGTGAATATCTTCTTCGGTGGAGCTCCCTGTGGGGCCACGAAGCGCTGCACTGGGTGGGGGGGAGCGAATGCGGGCGATAGCACTGGGGCTGTCGGTGGAGCTCCCTATGGGGCCACGAAACGTTGTACTGGGTGGGGAGGACGCATGCGGGCGGTAGCACTGGGACCTTCGGTGGAGCTCATTATGGGGCCACGAAGCGCTGTACTGGGTGGGGGGGGGACGCCTGCAGGCGGTAGCACTGGGGCCATCGTCGGTGCAGCTCCCTGTGGGGCCATGGAACGCTGTACTGGGTGGGGGGGACGCGTGCGGGAGGTAGCACTGGGACCTTTGGTGGAGCTCCCTATGGGGCCACTAAGCGCTGTACTGGGTGTGGGGGGGGGGGGACGCATGCGGGTGGTAGCACTGGGGCCGTCGGTGGAGCTCACCATGGGGCCAATAAGCGCTGTACTGGGTGGGGGGGACGCATGCGGGCGGTAGTCCTTGAACCTTCGGTGGAGCTCCCTATGGGGCCACGAAACGCTGTACTGGGTGTGTGAAACGCTGGGGGGAGGAAGGAGGGGGAGGAAGGGGAGGGAGGAGGGAGGAGGAACGCGGGGACCGTCTCTTCAAAACAAGGACCCAACACCACAGGATGGTTTGGAAATGTTCAAAAAAACAGTCGAAACATAGCCTGACAGATATTCAACACATAGACAACACAAACATCAACAATAGTGCAACACACGGTCAACGAATAGTTCCCTCTACATGAGGAGTATCCAAAAACAGTCAAACAATAGTCAGTGGACGACTTGCCTACTATTTTGGATGACCTTCAAATATTATGCGGCTCTTGTTTAGATTTCGTCCAAAATCCGCCCGTAGAAGGACATGTCCGACCGACGTATAGTGACCTCGGCCGACGGCCCAGTGGAGACGACGGCGGCACCCCCCTGCATGTTCTCCGCCCTCGCCTCCCAGAGGCACCTTCTCGCCGTCGGGGGTTGCTAAGAGGTGCCCCTGGCCCAAAGTGCCCCCAGCTTCCCCTCAATCGTGAGTCCCTGGGGCCCTCAGGGGCCTCGTGAGGGGTGCTCTGGAGGCCGTGGGGGCCTCCTTGGCAATCCTGGGGGGCACCTTGGGCCAGGGGCACTTGTAGCAGCACCAGGAGCGGGGCGGGCAGGGTGCTTCCGCTCAGGTCCTGAGGCGCGACTGGCAGATGATCCGCGGCACCTCGGAGAAGGTGACGCGCTCAGCGGGCCTCGACGAGCTGCGAGTGGACTGGCTGTTGGGGGACGAGTTCTGGGGCTCACGCATAGGTGAGCTGACGTACATGGGAGCGGGGTCGCGGGTGACACCTCCTCTGTCGAGGCGGTTGGCGCGTGCATACGCAGCTGGTCATTTGGTCCGCCTGGGCCGCGTCAGCATCGAGCTGGACGCCGAGGGGCACAACAATAGCGATGCTCTCTGGCCGACGGATGAGCTGCGGCCAGACAGGACGCGAAGATATCAAACATTGTATTGTATCCACATCACAGTCGTCGTTATCGTCTCCGCTCCCCTGGATAGATTGCAGTCCACTGTTTGGTTTCGCTTCTTGAGACATGCGAGACCTGATGCTTTCATACTGGCTTTGTCCTGAGCAACGACATTTTAAGCTGTTGCCGGCATTACACCCAGGAGTATTCGCACACACTGACAATAGTGTAACCTCAGGCGGACTTTAGTTTTGGGTCCCCCCCCCGTTTCTCTCGGCGGGGAACAAGCTCGCCCCTCCTCCTCCTCCTGCTCCTCCTCCTCCTCCTCCTCCTCCTCCTCCTCCTCCTCCTCCTCCTCCCCCCCATCCTCGTTGCAGCCGTCGCGACGGAGATCATGTTACCCCTAATTTTCGTCGGGCTTGATAATGTGGGGTTTCTTTCTTCCAGGGAATTATCATTCAATTGTGAGCCACCCTACACGCGAGAGGAGTTGTGAGTATCTCATCATGGGTATGGCACAAGGAACCAGCGGTCGTGATTGTAGTCGTGAATGTAGCCTCTGACCAAAGCAAAGCCGCATACCAGTTTCCCGCTAATGTGCGCCGTGTCTGATAATGTCGGGGGGGCTCTTTCTCCCAGCGAGTCGTGGTCCCTGGGCTACCCAGCATGCCGGAGGATGCCTGAGCGCCTTCGCACACGGACTGCAATCTAGATCGGCACGTCCCTCGCCGAGGGCAGTGCTCCCAATCTCCCCCTTTCATGGCAGTCTACAGTCGGGGCCCTGAAGAAGGAACCCTTTGTTTTGGGGAGGGGCTCGGTGTTTCTTGATTGTTTTATAGTTTGCCTTAGGTTTTACTTAGGTTTCCATGGGAAATCGAAGTTTTACTTGTGGAAAACAGGGGCCTCGTTCCTTATTTCAGGTTCCCTAGGTCAGCGCCCCAATTGTACATCTACGTCGTCGTCGTCGGCGCCCGCACGTCGGGCGCCCGATGAGTTAGTCTCCCTCCACTGTCGGACGGGCTGGCTCATGTCGGGGGGGGGCTAGTCTCCCAGTGGATCGTGCTCTCTGGCCTACCCCTGCACGACAGAGGAATTTCGAGCACGTCTGCAAGAGGCTTACAATACATATCGACACCTTCGTCGCCGAGGGCCTGCGCTTCAACAGCCCTTCTGAGTATCGAGTTTCTGAGGATAGAGTTTCTGAGGTGGGATGTTCCGTGAGAACGCTCCTGAGGCAAACGTAATAGTATTCGTTGTGGTCGTAGTCGCAATCGTAGTCGTAATTGTCGCCGTCATTGTTGCGCGGCGGGTGCCGCGGAACAAATAATTCGTTACCCCATCTTGGTGGAACCCCAGTCTTTCAATCAGGCCACTAAGAAATCATGGGGTAGCCCCTATTGCGGAGAGGTGTTCTAAAGATGTTTCAGGGTTCAACGCTTTGGGAAGCAGCGTATCATTATGCCCTGCCTGCTGGCACAGCACCCACAGCAAGGTGCGCATTCCTGGCACGACACACGACGCGCCCGACATGGCATGCTTGGCCATGACCGCACGCGCTCTATATATTGCACTTTCGGTACGGTGCGCATGAAATGGCAAACGCCGTGCGACACGTACGTCTCGCAGGGCACGATACGCGCGGTATGAACGCTCGCATACAAGGCACGAATGGACAGCTTGTGCGTAACCACGCTGCGGCATGCCCGTTACGTATATTGACGCTCGGCACGCATTGTACGGCATGCATTGCACGGCGCGCACAGCATGGAACGTGTGGGAAGGCACGTCGGACACGGGTCACACAGAGAGCTACGCATGGCACGGTGCGAGCGGCGCATCAGTCGCGGCGTGGCACACACAGCATATTTGGTGGGGCCTTCGCGCACAGGTCGGCATGTACGGCGCAGTGCGCCATGCGAGGCATGAGATGATTTGCACGTGCGACGCGACGCGCGCTTTGCGACCCGACGATCGCGACACGGCACGTTCAGCACGGCACGTGCGGCACGCACTGCACGGGACGATTGGGATATCACAGGGATTCGAATGCAGGGTCGCGAGAGATCGAGATTACCGAAGCGAAGAACTTCTATTTTCTTTTACGTATTTAGGTACGTTTGCCAGCGTGGACCCGACACAGTGAGTTATTGTATCTTGCATGTATGAGTTATGTGGTGGATTTTATGTGTGTAAGCTATGTGGTGCACTATATCTGCTGAACGCTATGTGATGCAACATGTGTGGCGATGTGGTGCACGAGACGTGGCTCAATACTTGTGGTAAGCTGTGTGGTGGCAGCTGTGTGGTGCAGGCTGTTTTGTGGAAGCCATTTGGTGGAATATTACAAGTGCGAGGACTACGGTGCATGCCATGTGATGTAAGCCATGCGATGCAATCTATGTGAGCGGTGACGGGGCGCCCACGGACGCCCGCCAGCCGAGAACCCCAACCTCCTCGCCAACACGAGGCGCCCACGGGCGCCCACCGGCCGAAGACCTGGAAGTCCCAGCAGAGTTTGCACTACACGAGCACGAGCCATACGGTGCAAGCACTGTTCGGGCACTGTGATGCACCGGCGTGGACCCATCAGTTTCCATAGCCGTTTTGGCTCAAGCAGCATATTGCAGCCAAGCAGAGGGCTGAGTGCAGCCCCTGACCGCCACGACTTCGTAGGGATGTCTGCGGCAGGGGCGCCAAAGGTCTTCCACTTCAAGCTGGTGCTGCTCGGCGATGCGTCCGTCGGCAAGTCATGCTTGGTCGTGCGCTTTGCCAAGGGCGAGTTCTACGAGTACCAGGAGCCGACGATCGGTGCCGCCTTCATGACTCAGACGGTGAGCCTCGGCGACGTCGTCGTGAAGTTCGAGATATGGGACACGGCTGGCCAGGAGCGGTACAAGAGCCTTGCGCCGATGTACTACCGGGGCGCCGCGGCCGCGGTCGTTGTCTACGACATCACGTCCAAGGAGTCGCTCGATGCCGCGAAGTCGTGGGTGTCCGAGCTCCAGGGCACGGACACGCTGATCGCCCTGGCTGGGAACAAGGCCGACCTGGGCGCCAGCAGGGCCGTCGAGAGGGGGGCGGCACAGGCGTATGCCGAGTCGATGGGCGTCCTCTACATGGAGACCTCGGCCAAGAGCGGCCAGAACGTGAACGAGCTCTTCCACGAGATCGCCGTCCGTCTGCCGAAGCAGTCCAAGGACGACGACGACAAGGGCAAGGGCTTCGCGGTGGGGGGCAAGTCCGGCAGCGGGGGTGGCGGCGGCTGCTGCGGAGGTGGCTGAGTGACGGCGGCGGAGCTGGGCCGGAGCGCCCATCCTTCTGATTTTCCTACCGCTCCTGCTCGCCTGAGGTACGTGATCTCCTGCCCCCGGGACGTTGCTCGTGCCCTTGCCGTGCGTTCTTGTCGTGGTGTGTTTCTGTCGTCTAATCTTCGTGACTGCTGTGAGGCTCAGCCGTCCTATTCGTGTGTCCGCTCAGCACCACCCACCAAACCACCCCAGCCCAACCTTGGTTGGGTTGGGGTGGTCTGGTAGGTAGTCCGCTCAGCTCCTCCTTCCGTCCCCCTTTTTGCATTTCCAGTCACGACAGCACCACAGGCTAGTCGGCGTCAGGTGCAGCTCAGGCGCAAGACGATCCGTGTGTCAAGACTAGTCGGTGCTTCGATGGAGCCAACTTAAGCTTTGCGAGACTGCAGCCTTCGGGTCAACAAAAGTGCTCTTGATTCACAATCGCAGGAGACGCTTACACCGGCCAGTCCACGCTGAGCAGGTTTGCATCCCACCTTGCCAGGGACCACGGGGCCGAGAATCAGAAATTGCACGACATCCATGCGGATCATCACCGTCGTCATGGTCGCCTGGCCGTGGGCGGGGAGAGTGGGGAGTGTGGGCGGTGGGGCTGGAGAGGAGGAAGATGATGATGGGGGAGGGATCGAGCAGGGGATCGACTACATGATTGACTTACCCCAAATTGGTTTTCCTGCCGAGTCTACGATACAAATGCGCACATTGTCCTGTAGATCTACCAACATTACGCGCGTGACCTGTGTATTCGGCGGGGGGTCAGTTTTGTAGTTCATCAAGTCTATAGTCGACCCCCGATTCGGAGCGAAGAGGAAGACGGATCGCAGGAAGACGAGGAAGACGAGGCAGACGAGGAACAGTATTTCGGGGGGGAGTGCGGAGTTTGCGGCGGAGGGGGAAGCAGGCAAGCAGGCAATCACCACAGGATCCATGAAGGCGCTACATATCACGCACAGCAAAAAATTGGATCGACATCCCTCCTCGGAATCGAACGCAAGTTTTTCCCGCGACTTGGCGGCGCCCCAGGACCCCAACATGTTTTCAACGTTCGCGCCGAAACTGGCGACTGCAAGCACAAACATCCGACCCCGCAACACTGCACACAAACCTTAAACACTTGCGCTTGATTTCGAGGAGGGTTGCAGGATCAATGAAAAAGCTGCATTCCGCGCACAGCAAAAAGCTTGACCTAGGTGGCCTCAGAATGCGAGGCACGCACAGGCGACAACAGCGTCGACGACAGGAGTGAACAACCAAGGCCTCTGCAGCTCTTCGGTCTGGGAGCGTCTTGGAGGCCTTTCGGGGGCTCTCTCTCTTTGGCCCTTCGGAGGCCTCTTGGGCCCGCTTGGGGGCTCTCTTGGGGCCCTCTTGGGGCACTAGTAGGGCCCTCTTGGGGGTCTCCTGGGGCCCTCTTGGGGGCTCTCTTGGGCCCCTGATGGGCCACCCCCGCAGGCGAGGCACGCACGGGCCCACATCGACCGCCCGGTGAGGCGATCGTCTCTCGGGCGGGCTGTTGGCGCTGCCCGCCCGCAGCAGCAATCCGCTCAGAGCGAGGGGACTTCCCAGCTCCTCCAGCCTCCTCCTCCTCCAGCCTCCTCCTCCTCCTCCTCCTCCTTCTCCCTCCCTCCTCCTCCTCTCTCCTCCTCTCTCCTCTCTCCTCTCTCCTCCTCCTCCTCCTCCTCCTCCTCCTCCTCCTCCTCCTCCTCCTCCTCCTCCTCCTCCTCCTCCTCCTCTCCGCCTCCTCCCTCATCTCTCATCTTCCTCCTCCTCCCTGTCTTCCTCTTCCTCCGCCTCCTCCCTCATCTCTCCTCTTCCTACTCCTCCTCCTCCTCCTCCTCCTCCTCCTCCTCCTCCTTCTCCTCCCCCTCCCGCGCCCTCTCGGCTTGGCTCGGGGTCTAGAGGTGAAAATTTGACTGGCTCGGTCGGCTGT